AATCTAGTCAAAAGTCTTATCCAGCCAATATAATAAGCCTGGATATCACTTGGTGGGTTTTGACATGTTGTGGAGGAAGCTTTCCACAAATGATGTTGAAAGACGAATTCAAGCTGGCCACCAATAATTAAAGGATATTGCTTGTCTCCCTCTACTGAAAGGAGATATTCTTTTATTGTGAAAATCACAGTTTGATATATGTGCAAAAATAATTTGTTAAAAATATGAAAGGAAGAACTTTTATACACATGTCATACTGTCATTGGCAAGGAATGTAGTTCCTAATTAGAGGGGAATGATGTCATCATTAGCAAAGAATGTAGAACGAAGGAAGTATTTTTCATAATTACATGTCAAAAATATAAAAGGAAGAACTTTATATATATAATGCAAATTGCAATGCAGATACGACAGAGTCGTGGGATCAAGCTCATTAGGCTTGGTGCGATTGAACAGTTCTAGATAGACTAGTAAGTCCTTTATATACTATTTTTTATTTCATGTTGCTTGACAAGGGAATTTGGAGGCATTGGCAAGCAAACAAAACCAAATCATTCAGAAACTCATCTGAGAAAAAGGAAAAAAAAAAAAAAAACCTCTGCTCATAATCCAACCCATACACAAACTTTAGAACACTTCAGCCACCATGCTTGCAAGTACTCGTTCCCATCTTTCAATGTGTACAAATGGGAACCAGCCTGCTCTGCCCAACCATTGTTACAAAATACAAATCAAGCTAAGCTAAGCATTCCCATCATGAGTTATGAACCAAAATACTACATGTAGGCATATGACATGACCCTTCTTTCTTCGTTTAATTAGTTTTATTTATTCATCAGAAGAAGAAGAAATATACGCAAATAAAGGAACTAGGCTGCAATCTGCAACCTTGGATTCAATGACTTGCCTCAGATAACAGGCAATCCAAAATACAATACAGTTTTTCTGTAGCAAAAACCAACTGGACTAGCTTAATTTTTACTCCCACGAGAACAAAACTAAAATTCAATGTGACACTGAATGATTCTAAAAAAAAATCTCGGATTTAATGAATGAAAATCTAACTAACGAAAACAAAATGAAGCCTATTAATGACACTCAAATGCTAAAACCAATTAGAGATATCTTTTATTATTATTATTTAATATAAGTGATAGTCTAAACTACAGTGGGCAGTGGTGTTTCTCACACACACACTATCAATGTGCCACGAGAGTTCGAACTTGAGACCACTAGTATACAAATCAAGCCCCTTTTCCAATGAACTAGACCCCGTTGGCAACAATTAGAGAGATCTTAAATGGCCCAACTGCTATCAGAGTTTCTAATGCTAGGACTAGATACTTATCCAGATCTATCCATTAGAAGGCACGTCAATGATGAGGCCAATGAAGTGTTAGGACATGGTTGAAGTGGAGGATAGGACCAAATTTTGACGAACCAAAACGGTTTTGGGGCCAGCTACTTTAATTTATTTGTTTTCTTCGATACTTTGTTATAGCTAGCTAGTATTTGTTCCTAGTGTTTAGCAATTTCATAATGGTTCAAACGTCGTTTACATGGGTGAAGTTACCAATAAAACTGTCAACCTCGTACAGCTCCTATTGTTCTGTCAATCTAGGACAAGCACACTACATTTCTACTCTATTTCAAGTTGTGCAGTATTAATTAATTTCTTTGTTAAAAAATATTTAAAAATATATTAAAAAAACCCTCAAATCATTCATACATACTGATTGAGAGAAAACCTCTCAAGAACCACCTAGCTAATCTGTATATAAAGGGATCAAGAAACACTCATGGGAGTGTAGAACTATAGGGGCTTGTCCTTGTAAAACTCTGCAGCATCTTTTTGGCATCAAGACTAATTAAAAGGTAATTAAATTTTCCAAAACTTGCTCTTACTGTTTATATATTTATTTATTTTAGGTTTATATTAATTGTGCATCTCTTGCCTTGATCAGCAGAGTATATTTGGAAAACCATCATGTCAGAAACATTAAGTACCATATTTGAAGAATCCTCCGCCTCCTCCTCAACCCTAGAAAACTTCCAAGAGGAAGGCGCCCAACAGCTGCATGAGGCATATATATGTGAGCTTTGAGAGCTGCACTGATGGAAAATCAAACTCGGAAATTAATGCATCAAACCCTCCATTGCCACCAGGCCTTACAAAACTGAACACAACAATTAGACTGGGATTGTACTCTAAAATGAAATTTTGTAACAAAGAAAACACCATCACAAGCGATATAGATCCTGCAGAAACTACACCCAGCAAGAATGACCCTAATTCGTCCCGGAGCTTCAATAAGTCTATTAATTTTTCTCGCTTCACGTCTTTCTTTCGCCCGAATGCCACATCACCGTCAACGACAACATCTGATCATGATCATCATGATATTCATGATGATCAAAATGAGATGTTTGCCTTACGTGAGAGGGTTGCTGCTACAGAGATTCTTGTGGAAAAGCAGCAACTGGAGATTGATACTCTACGCCAGGAGGCCACGGAAACAAGAAGTATGTTGCAAGAGTTAAGGACTCAAATGGAACAAATTGTTGAGTCTCAAGCACCAGCTCTGCCACTGCCAGAGGTTGCGGCTTGTGACCTTGTTGATTTATTGTCGTTTTTATTTGGGAATTTTGTATTTTTCTTATCTAACCAGATATCTTTAACTTATTTGATATATTTCTTTACCTCAGGGGTATTCTTGAAATTAACTATCTGCATCAAATAACAGTAATGGTCAATATATATATTTTTTTCAATTATTAGAATACACACTGCAGATCATAGAATGAGATGGTTGGACAAATTAGGCAATAAGCTACAAGCCTTCATTTATTCGTAGCATATATAATAATACACTGATCCAATTACAAATTTTTTATTTATTTATAGCAATTATGATCTAGCTAAGTACCAACAATGGGGTAAAGTTCGAATCCAACATTGCAACTCCCACCTACAACACGCCCACCTCGTTTTGAATCACAACAATTTGGCAATTCACTTATTGCAACATCAAGACATTTCTTACAATCAACGTTAGAGAGGTCCCTTGTGCATTGAGCAATACCATATAACGTTGTGAATGTGTCGAGTTGTACCTCACCGGTAGCATAAAACTTTGGATTAGCATCGGAGGCTTCATTAGATAACCCACTTAACAATTCCTGAACTTTCTCATTGATTAGTGTGGGATTGTTCTCTACTGCTTGGACGTTTGTCATAGAGAACTTGTTTTTGTTATCAATTTTCCCAAAGAAGTTCGCGTCTAAGTACTTTAAGAAGAGGCAATGATCATACCAAATTATGGCTCCTTTGCTATATGGGCAACGCTCACGAAGCTCTTTGCTTGCCCCAATCACACAATATATATACATATACCAATGGCTGAATGGTGGAAA